GTGGTGGTGGCGGCGGCGGTGGTGTAATCGACATCTTGGGAAGTCAACTCTGGAAAAATGGAAGATTTGTCGTAAAGGCGAGTACCAGAAGGAGTCGTTTTAACAATAATTCTTCCTTGCTTTAGCCAGCGACGTAAGGTATCTGACGAGATTCCAAGTTTTCTAGTTGCCTTGTCTGCAGACAAATACATGGAGGAGAGAGTTTGAGTTTACGATTTTGAACGATTTTTGAGTCTCATGATTTTCATTGATAACGATATTACAATGAGCAACTGCGGCATTCTGCGATACGATACTGAAGGAATACTAGTCCGTGCTGACTAACTTTTCCATTCTTTTCCCTAATATAATATAAATACCGGGCAACTTCTTTTCTCCACAAATAAACCGGATCGTTGCATTTTCTTTCAGAGAATTATTTAACATAGTAATTGTAGTCTAAAAAAGATCTTGGTTATTGTGAAAACATAATAATTCTTCTCTTTGGTATTTTATATATATTATCTTTTGAAAATTACAAATGTATAAAGTTTGGCCTTTTACGAGTTGGGGTTTGGGCATAACGAGCATAAATATTCCCTCAACGATCCAAAAAAGGTTACTCAAATTCTTGCTCAAAAGGGCCTTGGGTCAGTTCTTGGCTGAAGAACTAGATCTCGATAACCTTGAGGTTCAATTTGGCGAAGGGCTTGTTCAACTAAAAGAATTACAACTAAATGTGGAGGTACTTTATTATCTTTATTTTATCAACCTTCTCATTTTGATCATTGATAAAAATTATCATTCGATTGTCTTTTTTGCTCGCGTTTCTATCAATTCTTTTTGATAAAAATATTTTCTCTAATTTATTTTTATGTCGGAAGGTATTAAATGATCTTGTTGCAGATTTACCAGTGGTTATAACAGACGGAAAAATTGGTGGTATCATCGCTAAGATTCCATGGAAAAATATATGGAAAAGTGACTTTGTTTTGGAACTTCATAATTTACAGATTACTGTCGTTCCTGAACATGCTAAACCAAGAAATGGTAAAACTAAACTTTTCAATAAAAAAAAAATTAAAAAAAAAATTGCAATGATATCAACTAGAGAATTTCTTGTGAATTGATTTTTTCGAGATACATGCATATATTTGTTATAAATTTTTATATCATCTTTTTTTCCTAATTTGATAGCCAAATCTACTACTCCTGAAGACTCGCATATACTTTCATCATCATTTCACTTTGCTGGCGATTTTCTTCGTCATGAAATACCTCCCGAAGAAGATGAAGAACTTCGAAATTCTATTTATCATTCTTTCCATAATAGCACGTTACCATCAGAAAGTCAGGAACTAGGAAGTTCAAGTCTTGAACAATCAGAAACATTACCACAGCAATCTACCATAATTGGTGATAATGGTAATGGTGGTATAGAAGGTATCCAAATTTTGGCGCGGCTTATCGATAAATTAATGTCGAATGTTAAAATAGTTTTAAAGAACACATGTATACGACTTTCTCATCAATCTACTATTACACCTAGTGGAGATGGTATTTCAAACAATAGTGATCAACCTAAGGAATATTATTTCGATTTGGAGATTCCGATCATTTCTTTCAAGGATGAAAAATCTGGATTAGATGATGAACCAGTCTCACCTAATTCATCTGGTTCAGCTAACGTGACATTACCTCCAGCACAACCTGAAACGGTAAAATCTTTTTCAATCACTGGATTAAATATTTGGTTAAGGGAAGCAGCTAATAAGGCTGTAAATCATTGGGCTCAACAACAATCACCACCCTCGTTTAGTGAAGATCCTGAAGACAGTGGAGATGAATTTTTTGATTCATGTCAAGGGACGAGCTCAGAAAATGATGATCAAGACCAAATTAATCCTTATGAAGCCATGATCTTTTCTTGTGCAGAACAGGAAAATGTAATTAAAGTTACATTGCGTCAAAACGCTCCTCCTGTTATCCAATTTGATTTACAAAATGCTGCTTCTTCACACTTATACACACAAGAAGCTATGCGACAAGCAAATATTACTCAATCATGTGAAATTCAAGGTTCAATTCAATCAATGATTGCTGTATTGACTCCTAGTCAAGCATCATTGATGGTAGATTTGGTCGACGCGTTATCAAAAAGTAAATCAGCTGGTGATAGTATATCTTTAAGTAGCACTGAAAGTGATGACGATATTCATGATACTGCTCGTTTACATAATCTTAGAAATAATGATAGAATACCAGAAAGTAGCGTAGATAGTATTTTTAATGATTTAGGTCAAGACGTAGCTTATAGTTCAGTGCCTTCTCCCATTCAAAACAATGATATGGATGATCTCTTATATAACTTAACTTCTCCTGCTTTAAATACATCTGGATCAATTCCAACTCTTGCACCCAACATGAAAATTGAATTCATAATTCAGAATATTGAAATTTTCTTTTTATATTCTGATCCATTACCTAAATTTATACCAGAAAAAAAATTTTTCGATACTCGATTACCTGAAAATTTAAACATTAGTCATATAAAGATCGATGTTAACGAACTATCCTGCAAGATTCAAAAATGGGATCCCGAGACTTTGATCGGTAGTCTGAAACAAGGTGGAAGTATACCGAATATAAAAAGCTCGGAAACTGAGGAAAGCTCACGCATATTAATAGATGTAGCATTGGCTGATTTTTCTATATCAGAATGGTTAAAGAATGACAACCCTGAGATCGAAAAATTAAAATCTGAGGTTACGCTTCCAAATTTTAACATTTATGATCCTTTATTATTTTTTGATCCCGAACTTTTGAATTCTTATCGTCCCGAAGAGTCAGATTTTCCAAACTTTCCAGTAAAAAATGTGAATCATTATGGTTTTAATAAAAATACTGGAACGAAAAAAGCCGGAGGGACTACTTCTAGATTCAGTAGAAACAATAACAACATTATCAAAGACGTCATTAGATTAAAAATCAAGATTACGAACGTTTCTAATGAAGGTTAATTAATTTGACGCGTTATTTATTTTATTTATTGAATTCCTTTTCTTGTAATGAACCTCTTGAAAGTTGTCGAATTTTAATAATCAAGATTTGTTTTAATTTAGGTAATTTGTCATCAGCCGTCAATGCAGTAAATTACGAAGTTGCAGTAGATTTAGAACCAGTGCAATTACACTTTGACCTCCGAATAATCGATCGATTGGAGAATTATTTAGTCTTTTTTCCTGGAGATTCTGGTAATAGCATTTCTCGAGAAGAGAAATCCACAAAGCATACATTTAACGAACATTCGACAAGTCAAAATATAATTGATGATTTGGATACACAAAGGTTGAATGAGGTGAAGTTTTTTTTTTTTTAAAAAAAAAGTAACCTTTTTTTTTGATCGATTTATTCGGGAATATTCTTTAACATCTAATTTTTTCTTTTAGAAAAATTTGGAAAAATCTCAGTTTCGAATCAATTGTGACTTGATTCGTTTGATGTTACATTGTCCAGACTTGAGTGCTGCTAATACACATAAAGTTGTTGAAGATTATTGCATACACTCTAATTTATTAATTGTTGACATAATAAATATCAATATTGCGACTGGAAGTACGAAGCAGCCAGGTGTATCACGAGCAGAAAGTTACGGTATTCAACAGCATTCTGAATCCGAAGGACACACTAACGATTTGCAACAAAATAGAATGAGGATAGAATTTGGCGGAATAAACATTTTCTTAAAGGAAACTAACGGTGAATATTTTTTACGTTTTATGATATAAAATTATTCGTATTTATATATTAATTTGAATTTAAAATTTATAGATTCAAATGCTAAATGTTTTCTTACTGGGAAGCCATTATTAACACCACAGTTAACTCATCATCGGACTATGACTCATATCTCCCAAATGTATCCTAACGTTGAAATCACTTATAGACCCGCAAGCGCTGTCAAAAACAAATTGCCTTTTATTGGAGGCAATATTCGATCTTCACCATTTTCACAAACTTTCACATCATTTGAAGGCGAAGATCGTTCTAATTGGCCAGCAGAAAACGAAGAAGAGGAAATATTGATATTCAAACAAAGAACGATCGAAAGTTCGGTAAGTGTAATTTATGACTTATAAGATATATGTTTTCTAATGTATCTGGACTAAATGTTATTTTTCTTTGATATTTGGAAAATAAAGTTGTTTGTGATAAATTGTAGTTTTCCACTTACACGTGTTCGAGTTACAAAATCTTCTTTTGATATTCTTCAAATTTTGTTGAATGATTTGGTATTATGGCAACCTAAAAATAATAGTGCTGCTAATGAACAAGTTAATCACGTCAATTTAGCTGAAAGTTACGATTATAGATCATATCAGCCAGTTTATGGAATGGATTCTTATGATTCTGAAAATCATGAAATGAGAATGAGACCTGAGGGAAGTTTCATGGGATCTCGAATGGACATTTCAATACCGTCGAGGCCTAGTCTTGCGTCAATTGTTGTATTTATGACGAAAAGTATATATAAATGTATCTGTATAATTGAATTGTTATAATAGTTGATTTTGAAGC